TCGGCTGGGGAAGATAGTGGCTTGTTAGTGACTAGCTGGCTGCAAATTGCTCATGTTGTTTGGCCTTGTTTTAACTTTCCTGTCTCGGTTTCCCTATCCCTCCTGCCCTGGAGTCCTGTGACACCTTCACTGTGAGGAGGCAGGTACCCAGCGTTCACTGGGGGGGGGGGGGACACGGTGACAAGGGTGGGATGGGGATGATGAGGATGGAGGCAGGGAGGCTGGTGAGGGGTCAACAGACTCCAGGAGTGTGGAGGGGGAGGGGCAGGGGCAGGAGGGGCCGAGGGTGGAGAGGTCATTCGGTTCTGGAGAGATTTCCAAGACAGAAGCAACAGGATTTGCTGCTGGGTCACATAGGGCTGTGAGTGAAAGTAGAGAATGAAAGGGCTCTCCCAAGTTTTGTTTTGTTTTGAAGAAATTTTACAATTTATTTTTTTTTATTTTTGAGAGAGAAACACCGAATTGTTTCTCCACTGATGTATGTGTTCATTGGTGGATTCTCATATGCGCCCTGACCAGGGACTGAACCTGTGCGTGGCCTTGGCACATCGGGAGGATGCTGTAACCAACTGAACTACCCGAGCAGGGCATCAGGTTCTGTTGTTTTCCCCTGAAGAATGGAAGTTGGAATGGGGCCCACCTTTTAGGGCGGTCAGGAGTTGGGTTTTGGACATAATAAATCTAAGGCAGCGGTTCTCGACCTGCAGGTCGAGACCCCTTTGGGGGTCAAACGACCCTTTCACAGGGGTCGCCTAAGACCGTCGGAAAACTCATATATAATTACATATTGTTTTTGTGATTAATCACGATGCTTTAATGATGTTCAATTTGTAACCATGAAAATACATCCTGCATATCAGATATTTACATGACGATTCATAACAGTAGCAACATTACAGTTATGAAGTAGCAAAAAAAAAATAATTTTATGGTTGGGGGTCACCACAACATGAGGAACTGTATTAAAGGGTCGAGGCATTAGGAAGGTTGAGAACCACTGATCTAAGGTGTTAAGCAGTGGGGTATCACATGGGCATCTGGATATGAGGCCTCAGGTCAAACCCTGGAGGTCAGATTCAGGGGGAGAATATTAAGGATGTTACTGAATGTGGCCCCTGCGGTGAGAGATTGGAGGGCAGAGGCGAAAGGGAGAACATCCCTGAGATTTCCTCCAGAAAGGGGGGGTCCTGATACATGAAAGGATCTGGCTGATGCTAGGATCCCCACCCAGATGGAGGAGAGCAAGGAGTGGGGTGCTATGGAGCTGCCGTGGTGTGGACTCCGCGTGCACACAGGCACTGCCTGTGGAGCACAAAGAAAGCCAGGCCAGGGGAACAGCCCCGGACCCATCCAGGGCCTCGGTCCATCAGTTCCCCACTCCTCAGGTTTGAAGGGAGGATACCGTTTCCATTACTTTTCAGAGAGAGAGAGAGAAACATTGATGTGAGAGAGACACATCCATTGGCTGCCTCCTGCACATGCCCCTGCCCTTGACTGGGAATTGAACCCGTGACCCCCAGTGCATGGACTGACACTCTAACCACTGAGCAAGACCGACAGGCTGATAAACACTTCTGATGAAGGGCCACCAGCAGGCTTGCCTTCGGAGGACTAGGCACTGGACAGGCTGGTTTGGTGAAAGGACTAGTGTACACTTGGCAAGTATATATAAGCAGTCGCTTAAGAATTGGAATATGTAGATAGGATATTATCTACATATTTATACCCGTGCTTAGTAATTGATTAAAGTTCTTCTTTCATTATAATGGAAAGTCTCAAATATCACATTTTCTTAAGCGACTAAAAACAAACCCAGAATTTAAAAAATCTATCACCTCATTTGTACCAAACCATTTGCAAAGTGTTAAGCCTGTGGGCAGGAAAGGGTAGCTCACAGGTGTCTGAGCTGCACTGACACGTCCGCCGTAAGCAGCAGCTCTGGGAGGTGGGCACCACCACTACCGCGACTTTACAGATGAAGACACTGAGACACGGGTCTTTGTTCCAGTTCACACAGATGGTGTGAGGATCTGAGCTCAGACAACCTGAAATCATCCTCAGCGAAGGGCAGGGCAGGGCTTCGGGGAACTTCCAGCCCCTCGGATGCCACTGTGCTGACGGACCACTCCCAGCCCCCTCCTCCTCGGGGTTGCTGTGGGGCAGGAGCTCTTACGACCCCTGTGTAGGTGACTGCAGCATGGGCAGGCCCACATTCAACCACCCTCACCCCATAAACCTGGCTTCCCAGTCTGGTGAGTGGTGTCTGAGGGCTCTCAATCTGCCCTCTGTCTGCCATTGAGCTCGGGGATCCCTCTGTCTCCAGAGGTCTTGAGCCCTGACTTCTCTTCTCGAATTATGTGAAAGGGTTCCCATCCAGCACGCAGCGCGTTAGGTGCGAGCAGTGTCCCCAGCACAGGACCAGCAGGTGCAGAGCATCGCTAGAGGCCGCACTGGGCGGGTTCAGAAAACCGCAGGTCCCCACTGTGTCTGGTGGATCAGAGTGCAAGGACCGGGATCCAACTTTGAGTGACAGTCTGGAGCTGGGTGTCTGTTCTGAGCGCGGTTGGAGCCGTGGAAGGTTTGGAGCAGCGGAGGGCGTGACTTCCTGATGAGGAGGATGAGAGGAAGAAGGGAGGAGTTAGAGGTGACCCCACCGTTTTTGGCCTGAGAAGGTGTAAGGAGAGCAAAATCCTCAGTTGAGATGGTGAAGTTAGTGGAAGTAATATCACGAGTCAGGTTTTGAACATATTGAACCCGTGATGTTCCAGACTTCAGAGTGGAGTTGTCAGATGGACAGCTGGACACACAGGTTTTGAGTTCAGAGGAGAGATTCAAGTTGGAGACAGCCGTATAGTGGCAGCCTTAGAGTAGGGTGGGGTTGTATATCAGATTTAGAGAGAGAACCTTTATGTTCTGGTGGCCGTGACATTATGGGTCTAGAAAAGGGGTGGACACAGTGGATTGGGAGGAGAAGTCACCGGAGAAACAAGAAAAGGGGGATTAGTGTTAATGGGGGAAGGGAGGCGAGAAGAATAGGATCTGACAGGTGGTAAAGCCTTCAGAGAAAGAGTGGCATGCGATGTGGCAGTAATAGAGATGACGTGGAGGGGAGGTCGGGGCTGGTGCTCATTTCCTTCTGTGGTGACATTTGGTGGGACATGTGGGGGGGGCGGAGGGGTGTAAATCAAGCTGACACATTAGCTCAGGGACCATTGCGTCCATGGGCACAGTCACCACACTCGGGGAGGAAGGCCAGTGGGTGTGGCCTTGAGTGAGAGTCTAATGCAGTGATGGCGAACCTTTTGAGCTCGGCGTGTCAGCATTTTGAAAAACCCTAACTTAACTCTGGTGCCGTGTCACATATAGGAATTTTTTGATATTTTCAACCATAGTAAAACAAAGACTTATATTTTTGATATTTATTTTATATATTTAAATGCCACTTAACAAAGAAAAATCAACCAGAAAAATGAGTTCCCCTCTGACATGCGTGTCATAGGTTCGCCATCGCTGGTGATGTTCAGCCTGTGACTGAAGAGGATCTGGCCTCCTCAGCGTCCACAGCGAAGTGGAAGGGGCTGGGTGCGCCTGTCACCTGCCCATGGCTTGGGTTTGCTGGCGTTCAGTCCTGGAGGGAGGATTTAAGAACCGAGCTCACAGGTTCCGGGGGCCGTGGGGCCCTGACTGGGGCAGGCGTGGTCCTGGGCGCATGAACCAAGCGTTCTCTGGACGCTGTGTCCACAGATGGAGGGAGGTGTGATCTAAAGAGCGACGGGCACGTGCAGGTGGAATCTGACTTCATGACCAGAGGGCGCGGGGAGGGAGCATGCGGGGCTCACATTGGTGGACGAGAGCCGTCACCTCTGGGCTCCAGGGAAGGCTTGTGCGCTGCATTCCAGGCCCAGACTGTGTAGTGTCTGTCCGTCTGTCCACCTGTTCTCGACGCAACTGGACAAAATGATTCCTGGAAAAGGGGCCGCTGGGGAGGAAAGTGTGTGAGGGATAGACCAGGGGTCCTGGGGGAGAGGCTGCCCCGTGTCCTGCGGGGTCATGTGACTGTTGAGGATGTTTGCTTCTCCCCTGGGAGGGTTGGGGACTGCCTGATGAGGCTCAGAGACTCTTTCTGTGCTTTGCCTTTAAATCAAGTTTAAATCCTGGGTAAGGTCCTGCCCTAAACAGTTTGGCTCAGTGGGTAGAGCGTCAGCCCGCAGACTGAAGGGTCCTGGGTTTGATGCCGGTCAAGGGCATGTACCTTGGTTGTGGGCTCCATCACCAGTAGGGGGCGTGCAGGAGGCAGTGATAGGTGCTTCTCTCTCATCGATGTTTCTCTCTATTCCTCTCCCTCCCTCTCTGTAAGAAATCAATAAAAACATATTTTTAAATAAAGAAAAAATCAATCCTGGGTAAAGCCCTGAGTTAGTTTTTTCGTCTGTGCTCCGCTCTTCCTTTTTCTCCGGAGGTTGCTGTTTGCTGACGAGCCTGGACCCTGGACATTCCTGTTTCCCGCCCCCCTCCACTCGGCCTCGGGGCTCCGCCTCCTCCACTCCCTGCGCTTCCCGCTCCTGCTGCCCCAAAACCCTTACCCCAAGGTGCCAAGGTCAGGTGTTTCGTGGCCAGCCCATTGGAGGCACCCTGCTTGGCTTTTTGTTGTTGTTAGTCCTCACCCAAGGATATTTTTCCATTGATTTTTTTTTTTGAGAAACGTAACACTTTAATAGATGAAATAAATACTTCAGTACGTGCAAGGTACAAACCTGACATTGGAGGGGGAAAATCACTCTAGTGTAAATCAGAAAAAAAAACACCCACACACTCACAGCAGCTTTTCCCCCGTTTGCAAATCACATGGCGAAGTCAGACTCCACAGGGAGTCTGCGCCTAATCCCACTGAGAAAATTAACATACAAAACAGGAAGCTACATCATGTCTAAGGAGTGAACACTAAGGTAACCTTTCTTTTAATTAGAAAAAAAAAAAAAGAACCCATGACATCCTTCCTGCTAAACTAATTCATAAGGTTTGGGTGAGGGACTCCTGAGAGGAGCTGAGGGGGGGGCGGGGTAACCCTGCCACAGCGGTCGGCACCCCCATCTCCAGGCCCCACAGTGTGGGCTGCTGGGCTCCGCCCCGCGTGGGTGTGAAAATCGGATGCATAGCCCTGGCTTCTGGAAGATTCCTCTCGAGCATCTAACATGGGGGGTTGAGAGCTTCACCTTTGATTTCTTTGGTATAAATTGAGGGGCAGACAATAAGCACCCTCCTTTATTGGGGGGCGGGGTGCTAGTCACAGAATTGGAATTCGCGGGCGGTTCAGTTCTGGGTGAAGACCGCTCCCTCAAAGCCTGAGACGGCGGGTGCGGCGAGTGCCTCGGCTCCCTGTGGTCCGTCATCGTGGCGCCCCCGTCGGGGTGCCGCGCCTCCAGGATGGCCGTCTGCACCGCCCTGCCCTCGGCCTGAGCGCTGCGCGCCCCGGAAACTGCGGCTCCGGGCGAAGCCCACCGTCTGCGCCTGCGGCCGCTCAACGGGCGCCGCCCGGACCTCGCGCGCAGCCCGGCAGCTGGTGCTCATGCACTTGGCGCCCAGCCTGACCTGCTCGAGCGCCAGCGGTCCCGGACCCGTCGCTGGCCGCCCGGGGCGCACGCGTCCTCCCTCAGGCTGCGGGACAGGCCCTGCGACTCCTCCAGCAGCAGCTGCGGGGTCGGATCGGGCAGCGGGTGGCGCGGCCCTGCTCCACCTCAGGCGGCAGCCCACCCGGTAGCGGTCCGCCTGCCCCGGCCGCGTGGGCGGAGCGCTCGGTCCGCGACGCCGCCAGGTGGCCCGGATCCCGCGGGCGGCCCCCGCCTCCAAAGCGGCCCGCGTTCAGCCGGCTCTGCAGGTCGTGGGTGAGGGTGGACAGCCCCTTGGTGCGCCATGACGGGGGCCCGGCCCGGCTCGAAGGACCCGGCGCCGGCACCGGAGGAGGCTGGGCCTCGCTGGGCAGCAGGAGCAGGTGGGCCACCAGCTGCCTGTTGCCCTTGCGCTGCCATACGTGTGAGGCCTGTGAGCCCTGTGCAGCCATCAGGACTCGGCGGGCCGGGGCCGCGGGGCCCACCCCGCACCGTCAGGCCGTCCACCGCGCGGGCGGAGGGTGCGGGGCGGGCCCACGGGCCGGGGACACAGGAGGCTCTTCCAGGCGCGGGAAGGGGCTGCGGCGTTGGGCCTCCGGGAGGACGTGCGGGAACCATGAACCGGGCACAGCAAACGCACAGCGCGCGCTCCTCGGGTGCCGGGAAGTCCCTTCTGCGGGGCCGCCGCCGCCTTCCTGGGCCAGGCCCGGCCCCGCCGCTGGAGCCGGAGGGCGGGAGGGGAAGCTGGGACCGTCCGTCCGTCCTTCCAAATCCCTTCCTCGGGGAGGAGCGCGCGCAGAGGCGACCCGGGCGGCTCTGCTGTCAGCCTCCTCGGGCTTCGGGAGCCGGGACCCCGCCCGCCCGCACTTCCCCTCGACGGCGCCCGCCCCTCGGCGCTTGAGGACACCAGCCCCCCCAGCGCATCTCCTGTCCCCGGAAGCGGCCGGTGGTGGCGGGGCCCAGGGTGTGCCAGTCGGGTCGGGTGTGAACTGCACGGATGGCACAGAGGCCGCCGGCCCTTCCCGCCTCGCGGCTCACGGTGCGGCCTGGCCCGGCGTCCGGGCGGCACACCCTCCGGCCCCGCGCACCCCGCGGCCCGCTGCTGGCCGTGGGCGTGACGTCCGGCGCCCCCTCTCCCCGGGCCCTGCACATCCGACGTCCTGCTCGCGTGTCCCCGGCGGCTGGGCCAACTCAGAAGGAACCCCCGGTGCTGCGGCCACCGCCCGGGCCCTGGCTGCTGCCATTTTTGTCCGCCTCCAGCTTCGGAGCCAGAGAAACTGAAAGGAAGGGCGGGGGGGACCACAAGGCCTGGCGTTGAGGCTCCTCCATTGATTCTGAGAGAGTGGAAGGGAAAGGGACAGAAACATTGATGAGAGAGAGACATGAATTGGTTGCCTCCAGCATGTGTCCTGACGGGCCGTGGATTGAGCCTGCAAACAAGGCACATGCCCTCGACTGGAATCGAACCCGGGCCCTTCAGTCTGTCACTCTGCCCCCGTCTTGAACTGATATTTCCCTGGGCCGACCTGTGTTATGAGTTACGGTCATGGTCATGGCTGTGGGAGCCACTGGACGTCTCTGCAAGACCTGAGGCCGCTATGGGTGGGGCGGTGCTTTCCTACTCACCTGCCCTCTTTCTTCTGGGACTTGTATCTTCCAGCTCCTCCGTGGCTGCTGAACTGTAACAGGAGAAAGCACTTTCCTGGGAGGTAATGACTCTGGCCACGGCAGGAGCGGCTTGGACGGGCCCTGGTAAGTTAGAGCTTTGGGGGTGACTTCGGGGTTCGGTTCAAGTAACACCAGGAACCTGTCCTGTGCCCACTACTGTTTGGGGCCCAGGCTATTTCCTCCCCATTCTAGACACTTTCTATGCTGACCTCTGACCCAGAGCTGCCCACCCCAATCACCAGTGCTCTCTCCTGCTCCCACACTGGATGATGCTAAAATATCGGAGACATACACATAACCTTCAGCAGTTCTCCAATGCCAGTTATTAATTCTAAGTCAGCTTTGCCTGGGCCTGGGCATACATTCCTATGTAGCACTCACCTTTTCCCAACAGCCAAGGCCTTTTTAAAAGTCATTTGCAAGGAGAAAGCTGGCAGTCCTGCCTGCTTGTCCCCAGGCTACACCTGAGCCTTGTACCTTTGTCCTTCCTCAGGCCGTCCCCTTCCTGCGACCCTTAGAGCCGGTCCTGCACATCAGCTCTTCCTTTAACATGGACTCCTCCATGGGTGCGCTAGACACACGTTTGCCATCGGTTGTCCCCTCTCAGCACTTAGTGGCTTCAGCAGCATTTTTCTGGCTTCAGGTTGTTGCCTTGGGGTGAAGGATGAAGAGGCATCTTCTGAGCAGAGCATTTCTGTGCAGGTGTCACCTGTGCGTCCTGCCAGGGGAGGTTCCTCGGCCCAGATGGCTCAGCCTTGTGACATATGTGGCCCCGTCTTGAAAGGCATTTTGCATCTGGATGACCACCAGGAATCACATTATGGACTGAAACCATACACATGTGAGGCATGTGGGAGACAGTTCTCATTTGGTGCAAACTTTTACCAGCACCAGAAGCAGTACAATGTAGAGAAGCCCGTCAGGAGAGACAAAGGCAAGGCCACATTTGCACAGGACTGTAGAGTCTGTGAAGGACCTCATCCATCGGAGCAGCCCTCTGTGTGTGCGGGGGATCAGAAGGACTTCCCGGCACGTGTGGACAGTCACCAGCAAAAGGCCACCCACCGCAAGAGGAAGACCAGGAGCGCTGAGAGGGGGGCGGCCTTGCACATCGGACAGATGCATTACAATTGCAACGAATGCGGCAAGGCCTTCAGCCGCAAAGACACGCTTGTTCAGCACCAGAAAATCCACTCTGGGGAAAGGCCTTATGAGTGCGGTGAGTGTGGGAAGGCCTTCAGCCGCAAAGCCACCCTCGTGCAGCACCAGAGAATCCACACTGGGGAGAGGCCTTACGAGTGCAGTGAATGTGGGAAGTCCTTTAGCCGCAAAGACAATCTCACACAGCACAAAAGAATTCACACTGGAGAAATGCCTTATAAGTGTGGTGAATGTGGAAAATACTTTAGCCATCACTCCAATTTAATTGTACACCAGAGAGTTCACAATGGAGAAAGGCCTTATAAGTGCAATGATTGTGGGAAAGTTTTCAGACACAAATCCACACTTGTTCAGCATGAGAGCATCCATACTGGAGAAAATCCTTATGTTTGCAGTGATTGCGGGAAGTCCTTTGGCCACAAATACACCCTCATTAAACACCAGAGAATTCACACTGAGACGAGGCCTTTTGAATGCATTGAATGTGGGAAATTCTTTAGTCGGAGCTCTGACTTTATTGCACACCAGAGAGTTCACACGGGTGAAAGGCCTTTTGTGTGTAGCAAATGCGGGAAAGATTTCATAAGAACCTCCCACCTTGTTCGGCACCAAAAAGTTCACACTGGAGAAAGGCCATATGAGTGCAATGAATGCGGGAAAGCCTATAGCTTAAGCTCCCACCTCATTCGGCATCAGAAAGTTCACACTGCAGGAAGGCTGTAGGAGTGCTTTCAACACAGAAGGACTCACATGGACAGGAACTCTGTGATCTTCCTTTGAGAGGAAGACATCAATCAATGTTGAACTTCATATATTTGAACATTAACACTGGGGAGACACCTTGTTAGGGCAGTTAGGGGCGATCAGGCAGGCAAGCTGTTGGGAGCCAGTGGTCCCAGATTGGAGAGGGTGCAGGCCGGGCTGAGGGACCCTCCCATGCATGAATTTCGTGCACTGGGCCTCTAGTAACATAAAAAATAATACTGTGTTTACTCAAAATTGGGCTATTCAAAATTTAGATTCAATGAAGAAAACCAACGTAAAGAACTTTAATGCTGCCCTGACTGGTTTGGCTCAGTGGATAGAGCATCAGCCTGCGGACTGGAGGGTCCCAGGTTCGATTCCGGCCAAGGGCATGTACCTTGGTTGCGGGCACATCCCCAGTGGGGGGTGTGCAGGAGGCAGCTGATCGATGTTTCTCTCTCATCAATGTTTGTAACTCTCTAATCCAGCCGTGGGCAAACTACGGCCCGCGGGCTGGATCCAGCCCGTTTGAAATGAATAAAACTAAAAAAAAAAAAGACCGTACCCTTTTATGTAATGATGTTTACTTTGAATTTATATTAGTTCACACAAACACTCCATCCATGCTTTTGTTTCGGCCCTCCGGTCCAGTTTAAGAAGCCATTGTGGCCCTCGAGTCAAAAAGTTTGCCCACCCCTGGTCTAATCCCTCTCCCTTCTCTGTAAAAAAGTCAATAAAATTTATTTTTTTTTAAAAAGAACTTTAATGCTAAGCTGCTTAGAAAAACCATAGAAACACCTTGGATCTAAAGGGACAGTATGAAATCAAAGGGTATATACCTCCAACGTCTACACGTATGAAACTGGCTGAGAAGACTGAGCTGCAACCCCGAGTTACCTTTCATGAAAAAGGAAGCATGACTCAGCAGAGCAGAACCCCTAATGGGGAGCTTCCAGCCCAGTGGGCAGGGCCCTGAACCACAGATGATGCTTCCAGGGCTTGATCCACATGATTTTCAACATGTCTTGAGACTGTGCCTCTTTTTTTTTTCCATTTTTATCCCCTTTTTAAACAGAATATATATACAGCTATCCTAGGTCTGCTCCAACATTCTTTAATTTTACATATATATATATTGATTTCAGAGAGGAAGGGAGAGAGAGATCATTGATTGGCTTCCTCCTGCATGTCCCCTACTGGGCATGTGCCCTTGACCAGAATTGAACCTGGGACCCTTCAGTCTGCAGGCCAATGCTCTATCCCAGCCATGGGCAAACTACGGCCTGAGGGCCGAATCCGGCCCGTTTGAAATGAATAAAACTAAAAAAAAAAAAAAAAAGGACCATACCCTTTTATGTAATGATGTTTACTTTGAATTTATATTAGTTCACACAAACACTCCATCCATGCTTTTGTTCCGGCCCTCCGGTCCAGTTTAAGAAGCCATTGTGGCCCTCGAGTCAAAAAGTTTGCCCACCCCTGCTCTATCCACTGAGCCAAACCAGCCAGGGCTGCTCCAACACGTAAGAAATATTTTTTTATTGATTTCAGAGAGGAGAGGGAAAACATCAATGATCAGAGAGAATCACTGATAGGCTGCTTTCTGTACACCCCCCCACTGGGATGGAGCTTGCAACCTGAGGGTGTGCCCTGACCAAGAAGTCAACTGTGACAGCCTGGTTCATAGGTCAATGTTCAACCACTGAGCCACACCGGCTGGGCTGTTCCACCATTTTATTTCAGGAACAGTTACTTTGTTTTCTAGCATCACAGACCCACAGATGGGGAGATAATGCACTTAGGGTGACTACACCCAGAATCTGACCCCTAACTGGTCTGGACAGATTCGATGATCATGTTCCACACTTCTGAGGTCATAGGATTTGGATGATGAGTTCATATTGGAATGAGGCCACTTGGGATCTTGGGATAGGTTTATTTTGCAAACAGAACAGAGACATTTTGGGGAACAAAGGATAAACTGTAGAAGGCAGACTAATTGCTCCCAAAGATGTGCGTGCCCTAATCCCGAGAACTTGTGCGTGTTCCCTGCATGGCCGATGCGACTTTGCATGTGTTAGTAACGCTGTCCTCACGGGAGCAAGACTTACCTCAGTTGGGGTCCATCTAATCACAGGACCAGCTGCAGGGAGGATGCAGACAGAAGAGCCAGCCCCCTGGCAGGACGATCATCCTAATGCCTCAGTGCTGGTGCCAGGACACAGACACAGCTGTGTGCTAGGACTGGAGAGGAACCCTAGCAGCTAAGGTCAGTCCTGGTTCAGCAAGAACTCTTCAGAATTCAAACAAAATGAAGAAAGTGACTGTGACTTTGCAGCTCAGAGATACTGCGTCCCATAAGTACATGGAACTATATCCTGCCAACAACTCAGATGGGCAGGAATCTGATCTCCCCAGAGGCTCTGGAAAGGAACACAACCCACCATCATTCAAGAACGACTGGAGTCCCAGAGACGGGGAGAGCTGGGCGGGTCGGGGCCAGGCTGCCTACAGAGGCTTTGGTTCCGAGGTAAAGGAAGGCAGAGCTTTGATATCTGGCTTAAGGGGTGGGGTGACAAGTAGATGGATGCCCAGGCACAGAGCCGGGAAAGAGCTCTGGTCTGCCTGGCTCACCCTACCCCTCACCACTCCCAACTCTGGGTTTTGTGGCCTCCAGGTAACAGGTTCTGCTGCCGTCGACCCCTGCAATCCCCAACAGCCTGTTTTGGGGTCCCCACTGCCTGGGGATTTCTCCTCACCCAGTGTCCTCTGGCAGCAGTGTGGGTCCCCTAGCCCTGCCATGTGCTCCAGATGCACCTCCCCTCGTGGCTCTCCTGGCTCCTCCTGTGTCCTGGCAGCCAGCTCTCCACAGCCCAACCTCCCCTCGCTGTCCTTCCACATCTTCCCCGTGTCCCCAAGGCTGCAAATTGCACCATTCCTGCACAGATGCTCACAGCGCCTCTGGCCCCAACGACCCACCTAGCACCTCCTGTTGCCTGGTCTCCAGCTCAAAGTGGTGTCCAGACCCCCTGCCCTAGTCCCTGACACCTCAAGGTTTAGCTCTTCTCTGCCTCGCAGCCCTGCCGCAAAGTCACTTCTCGCCCCAACATCGAACCCGGGTCTGGAGTGAGAGAACGTGGTCCAAATGGAGCGGGAAATGTGAATGTTATCTAGGTGGGTGTTCTGTGGGCAATCCTGGGGTGTGTACTACCAATGTGAAGAAGAGGGCTACTTCACATTTAAGGGTTGTAGTTTTTTTTTCCAGCAAAGGTTCACCTAGTTCATTCAGCGTAAGCTCTAGGGGAAGTATTTTACTGGATACTATACATATATATATTATAGTATAATATATAAAAGCCAATGACCGGTTACTATTATGCCCACTGTGGCCAGCGAACCGCCTGATCAGGGGTGGGGCTGGGGCTGGCCCATCAACCTCCTGCAGCCCCTACCACTGACTATCCCATTCCAATCAAAGGTGGACCAGCTGGCCAAACGAGCCCCCTCCAGCCTTCCCCCTGGCCAGCTCCGCCCCTGTTCCACCCACCCCACCATGATAGGCCTGGAACCCCTCCCCCCAGATGGCCCCGCCCCTGATTGCAGCCCCACCCCGATCAGGGGCAGGGCCAGCTGGCCAACCACCCATGGCCCCTACCCCAGGCTGCTGGCTCCCAATCAGCACCCCACCCCCACCCCATTCAGGGGCAGGACCGGCTGACTCACTGCCCACAGCTCCTCCCCATGGCCGACCCTGCCTCCCACAGGCCTCTAAACCCCAATCAGGGGTGGGGCCCTCCAGCCAATCAGGGCTCAGTCAGCCAGAACCCACCCATGCACGAATTCGTGCACTGGGCCTCTAGTTAAAAAATATTCTTACTGATTTTGGAAAGGGAGATAGAAACCTCAATGATGAGAGAAAATTATTTATCGGCTGCCTTCTACACACCCCCTACTGGAGTTCAAGCCTACAACCTGGGCATGTGCCCTCCTGACCAGCAGTCAAACTGTGACCTTCTGGTTCATAGGTCAACTCTCAACCACTGAGCCACACCAGCTAGGCATTTTACTGGGAACTTTGAATGATCCCCTAGGAAAAAGGAGAGGCCACCCTTGGGCAAATGCCAAGGCCTTCCCATCAGCAAAAAAGACTGCTCTCAGACTGTGAATTTCATGTTCTGGTGATCAGTGTTTTTTTTTTCTCTCTCTGGCAGAGATCCTAAAAACTATTTCATCTAGATAGTGGGGCTTACTTATACTTCAACTTGCAGAGCTGATTTAACTTGTTCTGTACCCACACTGAAAATAATTAAAAGCAAGCATCCAGCACAGCTGGCATGGCTCAGTGGTTGAGCATTGACCTTTGAACTGGGAGACTGAAATTTGCATTCCTGGTCAGGGCACATGCCTTCGTTGCGGGCTCCATTCCCAGTAGGGGGCATGCAGGAGGCAGCTGATCAATGATTCTCAACATTGATGTTTCTCTCCTCCCTTCCTCTCTGAAAGAAAACCAACAAAAAACATTTGAAAAATAAAATAAATCAATAAATAAAAAGAGCATGCTAACCACTTGTGGCAGTCGCCTCCATTCTCTCTGAATCCAGTGTTTCTGCAACAATGATCCTTCTCATGGCCCCTGTCATCTTAAAACCAGCGATGGTACCTACAGAAGTCAGGACCTCAGGGCCCACAGCTCCACTGCAGGACCTGCAGGGACAGACGGTCCCTCACCAGTGCTGAGGATGAGACAGGAGGCCCTGTGAAGAGAACAAGTTTATGTTGCTCTCAGAAGCATGAAGGTTGTCACAAGGACCCCCTTCTCAGGTTGAACTCAGAACCCCCAAATCATGGCTCGAAGCTACAATATAGGGCCACAAAGCTCCGCTGTCTTTCCTAAAGGCTATGAGCAGCAACGCAAACTGGGCCAAAACTGAAGACGTATATTCTGCCATCACACTATGCCCTCTGAGGCACACAAAGTTTAGGATCCCAACCAATGCTGAACTCTTCATACTAGCAAACAGGTCAACTTCAAAGGGCCCAAAACAGTGACTAGAACCTCAATATTAACAGTAGCTTAAGCAATAAGACCTGGAGGTGCCTGGAGTTGAAGGTAAAATTATTTTCCACATGCAATATTCACAAGGCCTTTATGCAGTGTGAAATCTTTATTTTTTTTAAATTGATTCCAGAGAGGAACAGAGAGAAACATCAATGATGAGAATTATTTATTGGCTGCCTCCTGCAACACCCTAGTAGGGATCAAGCCTGCAACTCAGACGTGCCCCTGACCAGAATTAACCTGGGACACTTCAGTCCACTGGCCGAAACTCTATCCACTGAGCCAAACCAGCTAGGGCAAATCTTTGATGTTTAATGAGGTTCGAACTATGCCTAAAAGATATCCCACATTCACCACACTCATAAGGCCTTTCTCTGGTGTGAACTCTGGTGTTTTAAGAGACTAGAGCTGTAAGTAAAGCATTTTCCACATTCACTGCACGCATAAGGCCTTTCTCCAGTGTGAATTCTCTGATGCTGAAAAAGGGCAGAGCTTTGGCTGAAAGATTTCCCACATTGGCTACACTCATAAGGCCTTTCTCCAGTGTGAATTCTTATGTGTTTGATGAGACTGGAGCTGTAAGTAAAGAATTTTCCACATTCACTGCACTCATAAGGCCTTTCCCCTGTGTGAACTCTCTGATGCTGAAAAAGTGCAGAGCTTTGGCTAAAAGATTTCCCACATTGGCTACACTCATAAGGCCTTTCTCCCGTGTGAATTCTCCTGTGTTTGATGAGTGTATAGCTGTAAGTAAAGCATTTCCCACATTCATTGCACTCATAAGGCCTTTCCCCGGTGTGAACTCTCTGGTGTTTTAAGAAACTAGAATTGTGAGTAAAGAATTTCCCACATTCACTGCACTCATAAGGCCTTTCTCCAGTGTGAATTCTCTGATGCTCAAGAAGCACAGAGCTTTGGCTAAAACATTTCCCGCATTCGCTGCATTTATAAGGCTTTTCTCCACTATGAACTCTGGAGTGATCAATCAGGCGAGACTTTAGAGTAAAGGATTTTCCACATTCACTGCAGGCATAGGGCCTGGACCCAGAGTGAACCCTCTGGTGTTTTATGAGACTGGAGTTGTAGGTAAAGAACTTCCCACATTCACTGCACTCATATGGCTTTTCCCCTGTGTGAACACTCCGGTGTTGAAGGAGTGCAGAGCTTTGGCTAAAGGACTTCCCACATTCCCCACACTCATAAGGCCTTTCTCCAGTGTGAACTCTTCGATGTTTAATGAGGTTGGACTTGTTGCTAAATAATTTTCCACACAACTCACACTTGTGAGGCTCCGCTCTGGCGTGAACTCTCCGGTGTTGAATGAGGCTAGAGCTTTGCCTAAAGGACTTCCCACATTCCCCACACTCATAAGGCTTTTCCCCAGTGTGAACTCTCCAGTGGTCATTCAGACTATAGCTTTTGCTGTAAGATTTTCCACATTCATTGCTCACGTGGCATGTTTCTTGGGTGAGGACTCTCTGGTCTTGAACAAGCTTGCGTTTGCAATTAAAATCTTCAGTGTATTCTGGGTCAGACAGAGTTCTTTCCTTATGAGAGGCTGTTCCACACTCAGTTCCCCTGTTTGACTTCTCCCTGGTGTGTGCGGCCTGATGCTGGAGGAATCTTGAGCTGGCCAGGAAGTCCCTCACAACCGCCTCACAGGAATCGGGCTGCCCGGACACACAGAATCTGCAGTCCTTTCCAAAGGAGGCTCTGTCCATGTGGCTTCTGAAGCACATCTCTCCCATGTACTGCTTCTGATGCTCAAGTTTGGCACTAACATCCAACTGTTCCTCACAGGCCCCCGTCCTGTACAGTGTCTGCCCATGGTGCCCAGTGAAGTGCAAAATGTCTCTCACGTCCACAACACACAGCTCACAAGGATGGGCCTCCGGGGGAGACACACCTGCCTTGCAGGTCTTGACCTGTGAGACTCCTTGTAAAGAACTGCTGAGCTCAGACAGGGCCTCCTCGTTCTGGGCTCCATGCCAACAACCTGGAAACGAAAAGTGCTGGTTAAGTGCATGTTGACTCTGGTGGGAAGGGCCAGTCCACACACACGTGTGTCCGACAAACCCAGGAACAAGTCCTTGGCATTGTGTGCAGGACCAGGGAATTGGCCCAGGTTGAGGATGGGCTGCTCTGCAGTACTGGGCTATGAAGAGCACAGACTGGGGGAGGCCTCACGTGGTGAAGGACACAACCATGCAGTGTACACGAAGAGCACACACAGTCCACAATTCACTTCAACAACGACTTCCCAAGAGAACTTCGCTATTGGTGACACACGAAAGCTGTGCAGACGGGTGTGTTAAGGTGCAAGAAAATACAACTGTAACAGGGCAGCTGGTATTCAGGGACTTTTAGAAATATGCACACACCTCAGGACACAATGCAAAGGGCCCAACGAGGAAAGTACCACAGATGGAGTGGTGAGAAAAACAGGCTACACACAGTGCAGAGATGTGAGGCTAGAGGTGAGAGTAGAAGCAATAAGTGATACAGCTGAGAAACTGGTGAAGTGTCAAGGAAGGGGAAAGATAGACAGAAATGAAGTGTGGCCCCAGGCATGGGATCAAAACACTAGTTCAGTCCTAACCGGTTTGGCTCAGTGGATAGAGCTTTGGCCTGCAGACTGAAAGGTCCCAGCTTCGATTCCAGTCAAGGGCATGTACCTTGGTTGCAGGCACATCCCCAGTGGGGGGTGTGCAGGAGGCAGCTGATGGATGTTTCTCTCTCATTGATGTTACAGTAGGCATCTGGTATGAGTTGAACACAGCACTGGCATCACACCCTCCTCCAGGTGCCATTCCTAACATTTTGCTGAGCCTGGATTCATGTACATCCTGTGAACCACCTCTTTCTAACCCAACGCAACTCCCTCAGTGAGCACAGGCATGGCAACGTATACAGGTACTGAGGGAGGGACAGCACCATGAGTACCCAGCACTAGCCCAGAACAACTCAGCACATCACAGCCAACGGAAAAGAAAACCAAATACTACACAGAGAACTTCGAAGGAGGGTCTTGCAAGAACAGCCACAGTCCATGGGAGGAGGAACCATGTCAGTCATGGGGATCCCTGGCCCAGGCAGGCCTGAGGCAATGTCAGCTGGAAGGAGGCAGCAGAACCTAGGTACACACGGGCCTGGGAGCTGAACAAAGTCATTCCGTCAGGGAGAAGCAAGTCAGGTGTAACCAGTGGGTTCACTGGAAGACTCCTGCCCTGATTGCTTCCCTGCAAGTCTGGGGCTCTTGAAGGAAGGAGAGGTCCATGCACAAACCTCAAATCAACTAAGCACAGCACCCATGCAGGGATGTAAGCACAGCACCCATTCAGGAACCTGGGGAAGAAAACCGTGCCTTGGTCTTGGTGTGAGGACAGACTAGCTCTAGGAGAAAGGGAAGGGCCGACACTACTGCCCAGGGCACAGGGGGAGTGTGAAATCCTTACCCAGGGAGGCCATCAGGGCCAAGTTCTCCAGCATCACATCGTGGTACAGGCGTCTCTGAGCCTCATCAAGGAGCTCCCACTCTTCCGAGGAGAAGAACACGGCCACGTCCTCAAAGGTCACCCAGCCCTGTATGAGAAGAAACAAATCATCTTTTCTGTCAAAGAACAGTTGAGAAGGCCGCCATGTTGGACTGTGTGACTTGGCAGCTGCCATGTTGGCTGCATGACTTGTAGCTCCCCTGGGGGCCCCCATCTTGAAACAGCAGGGCCCAACCCCTCCCTTTGTATTAGCCAATCGTGAAAGACTGTGCGCCTGAGCTCCAATCAAGAGTAAGGGACAGGTCACGGGTGTCAGAGGTTATAAATCTGAGCAGACCACCCGGGTGTGTTTTATGTTTTCCCAGGACCCCTGACTTGGGTATCGCCTTATTTCTAACACCTGGTGGCAGGAGGGGGGCAGCTGAAACCAGAAAAAGCTCCTCTACTGAGAACCCACTATCCCCCCCAAACCCCCCAGAGCCCCCCACAAGCACCCTGCGCCGTCCTCCTCCCAATCGCCCAGCTCAAAGGACCATCCAGTCCTGGTGCCATTGTGGCCTCAGGGGCTCCGGGAGGACAATGTCCCGCCTGTGCCCTTTGTCCCCAGGAAGAGACTGAAGCTCCATAAACACTCAGCTCAGCTCTGCCCGAGGCGCGCACAGGGCCCGGGACCTGCTCCCGGCACAGCCTCCCCCGCGGGTGTTTATGGGCTGAAGGCAAAGCCAGTGCCTGCATGCGGGCCCTGGCGTGGGAGGAGGGTCCTGTGCCTGGGGTTCCTCCAGGCTCCCGGGGACCCCAGTTTGGGGACCTGCTCTCCGAGTCCGAAAGAAGACGCTCCAGAGACGGTGAGGGTGGGGGTCGTGGCCAGTGAGGGTCGGGGTCACTACCCCCCCTTCCCTGTGGTCGCACCAGCACTTCCGCAGCCGCGGGACCGGGGAGGGGGCTGGCCCCGGAGACACAGGGACTCTCTGGACGCGGCGTGCCCCGAGGGCCGGGACGTGGGCCACCTGACCCCCCGCAGTCGGGGCAGCTGGTCTTCCGGGCGCCCCTCCTCTCCCCTCCCCTCCCCGTCACACCGGGGGTCACCCCCCGAGCGCCTCGCGGTCCTAGCGCGGGGCCGGGGCTGCAGGAGGACGGGCGCCCGCCCCCGGGCTGCAGGGCTGGGTCGGGAGGCGGGGAGGTCGGGGACGCGCTCACCTCAGCCGGGCGCCTGGGCGCGGCCGCCGCCATCGGGCTCAGCGGGCGGAGCGGGCAGGGGCGGCGGACGAGGGGGCGGTTCCCTCCCGCCCTGAAGAGGGTCCCTCGCGGAGTCGCCGAGCCTCACACCCGCGTCTGTTCCGCGCGGAGAACGACTCCCGGAAATTTAGACCCGGCACCTGGGTCCTGACTGAGCCGGGCTCGGGAAAGTCCTACAAACCAGTCCCAGAGCTGCTAACGGGGCCGCCAAGGCAGTAGCCGGAAGTACCGCCCTCCCGTAATGCGTCAACCGCGGGAGCCCCTCTTCCCTACCTTCTGATTGGATAGCGATGCTGCCGCTCCACTCTAGGCATTCTGGGAAATGTAGTCCCTTCCCACAGCGGCGGGGAAGGCAGGGGGAAAAGGGCTTATTGTGCAAAAGGACTCAAGCTCAGCTGGGAGGTGCGTGGGAAGTGGAATAGGTGGGCTTTGCCTCCTCTTTATTTTTATTTTAAATATATTTTAATTGATTTCAGAGAGGAAGATAGAGGGAGCGAGAGATCTGATATGCAGGATGGTCTTAGGCAGCTCAGTGGATAGAGTGTTGGCCTGCGGACTGAAGGGTCCAGGGTTTGATTTCAATCAAGGGTACATGCCCAGGTTGTGGGCTCGATCCCCAGTAGGGGGCATGCAGGAGACAGCCAACCAATGATTCGCTTTCATCATTGATGTTTCTAGCTCTCTCTCCCTTCCTCTCCGAAATAAAAAAAAATTTTTTTTTTAAAAAGGAACCACCTGAACTCACTGGAAGTCTGTCTTCTTTCACCTCAGAGGCTAAGAGAATCAATATTACGGACCTCAGAAAAATCACACACTATTACTGTCATTGTCATGATCATCATCTCACTTTACTTAAGGACTAAAATCTGAGGATCTCTGAATAAAGTCATCAATGGTCATTAAACCTAGGTTAGTCTTTGAGGGATAAATTTCCCATGGGAGAAGGTGAT